ACCAAGACACAGGATGTGAGAATGAAGGGGAATTGGTGGAGTCCCAAAACATTAAATCCACAGGACTTGGCAGGAGTTGAAGTTGCATTTGTAGGATTTCATAAACAAAAATGGCAATGCAGAGAAATCCTATCTTAGAGAATAACTTCATTTCTCTTATTTCTGAGTTATTTGAGGTTGCGCCACCAGAGTTCCTAAGTAATAGGGAAGACCAGCTGATTCTCCCCAAAGTCTTTCAGAGTGATATCACCTTCACTGTTAATTTAGGAAGTTCTGAATCTTGATAATGGTTTGTTTTGAGTGCATCCACCTGTGGGATTGAGTTGCTTTAAGAGGGTGATGTTTAAAACCAGGGTTTCTGGTTACTGATTGGCAGTGGGAATTTAAGTTTAATACTGTCCTAAGTGCTTGTACTGGCTCAGCCAGTGTCAAAACATGATCATGATAAACATGGGATCCAAAGAAGGAAATTAATGAGGTTAGATGAATCAGTTACCTAATGCTGTTAAGCTAAATAGATGGCTCTGTCTCCCCAGGGGAGGTTCTTGCCTCAGGTGAGAAATAGTTAATGCCTGTAATCTACAGCCCCTTAAGCCTTTGGCATGATAATGAATGCCCTGCCAAAGGGCAGCTGCAGTATTGACTTGCTGGAGTCCAAACCATTCCTCCTTGTCCCCTGACCACAGAAGACAAGTGTCATTTCCACTACTGGAAACCAAAAATGTTGTGTTGGAATATAAAAACTTCTTACATCTGTACCCTTTACTTCTGTACCCATCTGCCTGATCCCTGAGATCATCCAAGCTTACAACTACTACTGTGAAGAATAATCTTATTTCCTGATTACTCAAGGTGGGTGGACAGCCATCTCACTGCAGTAGCCATGTACTAACAGTGGATGGCTTAGATGTGGATATGGATTAGATGGCTTAAAGTGAGAAGATAGATGAAATGCCTTGAGAAAGATTAAAAGTAACTGTGATTAGTTTCTATAGCTACACTTAAGGCAGCCAACTGCTTTGACTTGCAAATCATATTGTAGGTTGGTTTCTTGGGTGGAAATGCTTTATAATTATAGTCTATGGAAGCAAGAAGACCAGAAAGATAAAAAACTTCCATAGGGTTGTAGGGGACAAAAAATATGTTTAATTTTCCCTCTACCCTTCTGAGTTCTTAGCTGAGACCTCTGTCATAAAAGAGGTTAAAAAGAGAAAAACAGGAGTTTATTCTGTATGCACACATGGGAGGTACCCAGGGACTAATGAGTAACTCCCTGAGGTAGCTTAGAATTCAGGATTAAGTACCCCTTTAATGGGGGAAGGGGAGGGTCATATAGCCTGTAAGCCTCTTAGGGGACAGGAAATGATTTTTAGGGAAGATGAATGGGCCCTTAGAAAAATAGATGGGGGGTATGATAGTTTGTGGCAGAGTTTGTTGGGATGTGGTGTCCACTTCTAGTCTCCCCTCCTTTGCCAAGAGTCAATCTCCCCTGGTTGATTAAACTGCAGAGAGGGAATTTGTGACAATTGAGTTGCTGTAGGAGGATCCTCTGTAGGCAGGGAAATTCAGAGAAAGCTTCTCCCTGCATTTGCTGTTTTCCAGATGCCTTCAGCTTAGAAGGGTGATAAAGGGTGATACAGGTTAGTGACCCTGGTCACCAGCGCACCACTGCTGCTGTTTGCATCTTGTTTCCTTACAGTGGGGTCCCAGCCTTGGGCTGGACATTGATTTACTAACAGTAAGATATAAGATCTGATAAAGCTCCTTGGTTGAATCAAAAGAAAAAATCCTCTACATTGTTATGGTATTCTCATCTGAGAATTCATTCCTTTCCATCCTATAGTTCCTCTTTAGGCTATTGGCTTTAAATTAGGTGTCAGGATGGCTGCCTGAGAGTTGTTTAAAATACAGAGCCCAAGATTCTGATTTGGTTGGTGTGCACTAAGGGAGACAGAGTCTGCATTTTTTTAAAGCTCTACATGCTAAACTCAGATGTACAGTCAGGTTTGAGAGACGCTCCATAGATTATTGACACAAAGCTACAATAGTGCCTTTTTTACTTTATTTCCCTTTTAATCCACTATATATTCCCATTCCCAGGGTGGCATTAAAACATACATACATGAATGCAGTCATACAGACCTGGTAATATTGTCCTGAACAAAAACTTTTGATAATTTCCCATAGAAGGATTCTGATAATCTCCTACTAGTGAGTTTCCTAAGGGTGAAGCCTATAAATTCCTAATCCTTATTACACTTAGTACAGAGCCTTCCCTATAATAGACCATTTATCTGTATTTAGGGGGTTTCATACCCATGAACAAGAAAAGTAAGGCTTTGGTAAATAAAGTTGGTTCTCTTTTATGAGTATCTTTTGGTGTGGATGGTTACATTTACTCAATTTCTCCAAGTTCAGAGGGTCTTTCATTTTTCATATTGTAGTAGGGGAGAGTTAATAAATGTTTCCACTTTTAAGCATTTATTATTAATCAGTCTCCAGAATGAGTGATTTGTACACAGTGTTTCATCTATTATTTCAATAGTTCAGGTAAGTAAAGATATCACCAAGTTGCAGTTAGTAAACTGAGGGTCAGGAATTTTTAAGAAATTTACCTAGTTACACATAGATCTTAAGTGTTGGTGCTGAAATTCGAATCCAGGTTTGTTTGATTCCAAAACTTCTGTTCAGTGAAGTTACTGGTTTTATCTTTCTTCTTTTTTTTTGTTCTTGGAAAATGAATATTAGTATTTAAAAAACCACAAAAGGTCATTTCCATTTCTTACTAGTTTTCGAAAAAGACTTTCCTAAGAGTTTGGTAAAACACGTGCGGCCCTTTTCTTTCTTTTTTTTTTCTGACCAATTTTACACAAGAAAATGACAGCTTTCTAATTTTTTTAACCACAGTTGTAGAAAAATATGAATCTGAGATAGGAAAGCAAAAGCCATTCCATAGTTGGGAAGGCTCTGATCAGAGAAGGCCTGATTACTTTGGAAATACAGCTTATTTTCCCCCATTTTTTATACAATGCTTGAAGCCACTGTGCTACCATTGTCTTCTTTTTTCATACGTCCCCAAATGGTGAGAAGTGAGAGGCCTTGGAGCTAGAAAAGAACTCGTATAAATTTCTTTTTTTTTTGATGTTCCTGTAAATTATAACAACCTGCCTTGGCAAGTCATGGGATAAATCATAGAGGAAGTTCTGTTTGCAAACTTCTAGGAAACCACAGGTCATCAGTTAGTGGTCAGCACCAGGAAAAGCAGGTCCCCCTCCACTGCTGTTATTTTGTTCTCAGACAGTATGAAGAACCTGGTGGGTGGTGATGATAAAATGTCATGATCAGAACACAGGTAGATCTGGGCATAGACCTATAATATTTATGGATATAGTAGTGGAGATATAGATAGATAATAAAAAACAACATTTTTTTCTCCTCCATTTTTGGTGCCACTAAGAAAACCTGCTCTATTACAGAATTGAAAAATTGAAACTAGGCGAAACTTCTTCAACCAGAGGATGCTCTTTATAAAGATACTTCTTTTGTACCATGAGGTTGCACCTGTGGACCAGTTACACACAGACAGCTATGTTAGTAGTTTTTCTGAATCATGCCCTGGGAAGGACATTCCCATGGTCTTCCATCGTAAGTCATTTGAATTGGAGCAAAACCTTTGATATAGTTGGCAGTCAAGTCCTGGAGAACAGGGACTATACCTTACTTATTTCTTGTATCTCTCTAATACTGTGCATAGAGATAGCACTTATTAGACGTTTGTTTACCAATTGGCTCAGCTTTACAACAGGCTGATGAACTATTTGCTCTGCAGCTCCCATATACAGCTGTGCTCTGGATCCATGTGCAGGATCTCCAAATACTCTGTACAACCTCATAACAAACGCAAAGGTCTCCTCTGCACCTTTTGTTCTGATGTGTTAATTGCTTGAACAAATTTTGGTTACTGATTAAAACGTAGACTATGACAAGGTCAATGGAATAGAAAACATTTACACAAATTTACACAAGTTACTGTTGAGCATTTTGGAGGATAGGGTTAAAATTCAGATTGACCTTGAGATAATAGACACAAGAAGAATGAAGACCATTAGGGAAGTACAACTTTTGGAAATCTAAATATAACAGGGGGACTGTATATATAAGTTTGTGGGGAGAGGAAAAGGGGGGGCTCGTTGTGAGTCAGCAACACACTACTTCATTTTGTCAATTATCAGGCACACACTGCCAGTTAACCACAGGAGCATTACATGTGGGAACCAACTGCTGGGTAACATTTCCAAAATACTTAGCAATAGTTGGATACTTTTAGAATCCTGTGTCCACTTTCCAGCTGAAGGAAAATGTAGAGAATTTGGGAAGGGTCCAGAGCATGGCAACTAGATGCAGAGGAACAACTATAGGAAAAAGGAAACTTGGAGCCAATGGAAGAGGCTAATAAATAAAGATTTATTACATAGCTAAATCCAAAGCAGCTGAAGGGTGATTAAATAAATTCTTCTGTTGCATGTATACTTATTGTGTAGAAGATATAATTATTTTCACTGTGAATAGAATTAGGGAAATGGATTTACATTAGAGTCAGGAGATTTTGAAGGAGCATAAAGAATTTGGCTTTAAAGATTGTTGGACAGTAGAAAGACTTCCCAACGGGAGACATGAAGTCATGTTTCTTACAGAATAGTTATGGGCACCACTTGCCAGGTGCAGTTGGGGTAGACACTAATGAACTTTCTAGATTCCATTTCATGCTGCTCATCTCACACTGTGTTTGACATTTCCAGGGGGTAGATCGGTATTCTCTTTTTGTATTTTTTCATAGTTATTACAAATGTGAAGACCTTGCTTTTAATAATTCTCTAATGCATTTCTAGCATGTGAGAGGTTAAGTCACAAATTACTGCACTTGCAAATCAACTCACTGCTCATTCTTACATGGGCCATACAGTATTGTCAGTTGCAACTTGTCTTTTCCTCTTCTTCAGTGAACTCCCTGCCTGCCCTCCTTGCTCGTCCTACAATGAGTGCCAAATCTGCCATCAGCAAGGAAATTTTTGCACCTCTTGATGAAAGAATGCTGGGAGCTGTCCAAGTCAAGAGGAGGACAAAGAAAAAGATTCCTTTCTTGGCTACTGGGGGTCAAGGCGAATACTTAACTTACATCTGCCTGTCAGGTAATGAAAACCAGATATTAATATTGTTAAAACAACTGCTGTTTTAAAACAAGTCATTCTAAGATACCCAGGAAGGTAATGTACCCTGTTTTTGTACTTGTCTGCTCCTGTTTCCTGTTTCTCTACTTTATTCTCTGGTCCTTATTTACTCAGACCACCTGTCTGTCCTTTTGAGGTTGCTTTGCATGAGAAAGGTAATGAAGTTCAATTTTAATGTATTTTCCAGTTAATTTAGAGCTTCGTTAAAGGGTTTGGCAGATGCACTTGTTTGTCCATTCTTTCCTTCACAGGGACATTGACAGAAAGTGGGATATCCTCCAGGATTTTTGCTTTAGAGTGATTCATGGTATCTGGATAACTGTCATTGCTAGCAGCCTGAGTTTACTGACCTTCCTTTTCTTAACAGTTTTCAATAATCAGTAATAGTTTGTCTCAAGATAAGTATCAACACCCTGTGGAATGTGAGAAAGTAGACTGGGTTCACAAACCATTGCTTTGCCGGATGACAGCTGTTCCTTGTCAGGAAGAGGCATCTGTTCTATTAAGCTTAGAGTTTTATTGGATTATTTTTTTTTCTCTTCCTGCTTGTGATTGTAGATCTGTGGGATTTACTGTGGATTCATACCAAATTTTTTTAGATAAAATTTTAGATAAGTTTTCCATGGAGTTATGGTGATGCCAAACTGAACACCTGGGTTATTTGTAATATTTCTAATAATGTTTCTTATAACTGGGCAGTGGAAGAATTAATCTTACCTTAATTCATCTTTTTTTATTTCCTTTAATTGTGGCTGGGAAACAAAATTTTATTTTTGGACCCTTTTTTAGCTTTTGAAAAAAATTAAGCCTCTGATCATTTGAGTAAATCAAAATTTACTGCAGTGTATAAGTACTTTTTTTTTTCCAGGAAGAACAATGAAACAGTGAAATGAGAACATAGCCCTTTGATAAGAATAACTTTTCAATGGTTACATGAAAGCTTCTATTTAATTGAGTGAAAGAATTGACCTTGAAATACTGGCTTCTCTTTATTCTAAATAAGGAGTAGGTTAATAAAATTGAGTTATTGTCAGAGAACATTTGCCTGTCTTTAGTGCGCTGGTTGGTGCTTGGCACATAATAAGAGCTCAGTTAATTCCTAAGGACTAAGTCAAAGAAAGAAGTAACCTGTCCTAATGCCATCCTAGTACTTTGTTGATGAGATCAAGTCTTAAACATCTTTTGTATTCTTAAATTTAGGTTCCAGAGTTTTTGCTTGTACCAATAATGTCTAGAATGCATTACAATAACTTTTGTTTTGTGTTTAGGCTGGGCTGAACAGGGGCTGAGCATGGACATATAGTGATTCTAACTTTATTAGGTTGTAGACTCTCAGTGTTTCATTGAGATTTTTTGAAGACAGATAGTTGAAGAAAAGGTGGATGATCTAGACTTTAGCCTAGAGTTTTGCCTATTGTACACCTACAACTGAGAAAGAGGGTGGTTTTGTTTACATAGTCAGCCTCGCTCTGATCTTAAAGTCTGCAAGAATGATATGGGGGACTCCGTTTCACCACAGTGGCACAGCACAACCATTACCCTTGCCACAGAAGATAGTGACCTCAGGCTTATGAGGTAACTGCATTTGCTCTACTAATTACCAAGACCTTTAGGATTAAAGCTTGAAACTATGAGAATTGCATTTTTGTTGCACTCTAGTGGGGGGAAATATCTTATTCTGAAAGACTTCATCCTTCTCATGGCTTTGTATTTTGAGAGGACAGGCTAATAAAGTAGATCTGACATATAAGTAGATGGTTTCATGGAAATTGGGGCAGGAAAAAAAGGCCAGGTAACTTTGACACCCAAGTTTCTTGGAGTTTTATTTGTCTTATAATTGAGAAAGAAGCAATCACTTTTATTTTCCAACCTATGTGAAACTGAGAGGCATATCAATCACATCTCCAATAAGGCAATATTTTAGTTAACAAGTGTGTAATTAATTACTCTGTATGTACTTTTTATGTGTTGAGTACTCTAAGTGCTGCGGGCACAGTTCTGAGAAAAACTCATGAAGCTTGTTTGGAGAAGGGAGCAGTAGACATTATTACCCACTAAAATAAACAATTATTGACTGTGGGAAGATTAAAAGGAAAAATATAGGGATCTGAAATCATGTGTGAAGAGCATGGCTGAGAGAGCCTGGAGCTGCTAGAAAAGTAGGGCCTCTCTGACCTCACTGAAAGAGAGGGTGTAGGTGCAGAGAGCATTACAGGAGAGGGAATGGAAGCTTCATTAAAAGACTAAACTGGAATTTGTGTTTCTTCTTCACTGCTCTTCAATCTACGGATGACCTCTCCATAGTTCAACTCACACAGAGGGCTGTGAAGTAAAAGCAGAGCCCTGGAATGACAGGCTCCTTCCTGCTATTAGTGTGAGCCACCTACACTTACTGGGAAGCCAAGCTCTTCAACTGTTGTGGTTCAGCTGATGAAAACCACTATCCAGTGGAAATTTTATCCAGTATGAACTGGCAAAATTTGTCTGAATTAGGGCATGTCTGCAAATAATATTTAACCATTTTCAAACAGCACAAAGAGTTAATTTTTTTAAAGGAAAGAACAGCAGAGCTTTTAAGCTTGCCAACATATGCATGTCAGCATGAGTGTCTTATATATCCAATGTCTTTGGCTAATATTTCTTTTTGTGAATTCCCCCCCACACACCATGTCTGGACAAATTTATAATCTGAGAATTAAGGCCTGTAATCATAAGACTTATTGTTTTCAGAGTAGATTATGTATCTTCCAGAGGAATCCCAAATCGTGCTGAAGCAGGGGAAATAAGATGACTTTTCTTGGGTTATTTAACTATAATTGTGTAAGGAGAGAAATAATCTCTTGAGTTCATTCATAGAGTCTTGGGATAGAATGTGAGTGTTTCTCATTGGACTTCCTGAAAGGCTTCTTGAATGGTGTGCAAACTTATGTACTGACAAACTTCTGCTGATTAGCATTCTTAAAGCACTTTCTCCTTTGCCTACTTTCTCTTTTCAGCAATGACTAGAATTAAAAAAAAAAAAACACTGTGTGAGAAAGTATGTGGAGCAGTTTGAGCTCTCATACTTTGCAGGTGAGAATGTAAAAATGATACAACTGCTTTGGTGAACAATTTGGCAGTTTTTTATTAAGTCAGACAGGCACCTATGACTCAAACTCTGTTCCTAGGCATTTACATAAGAAAAATTAAAATATATGTCCACATAAAGACAAGTACATAGAGGTTCATAACTGTATTATTATAACCAGTAATCAGAACTCAAATGTCCATCTACATGGGAGTGAATAACCAAGTTGTTTTATATCCATCAAGTAAAATACTACCCTAAGAAATTAGTTACCAATACATGGAACAACATAGATGAATCTCAAAAGCCTTACATTGTGTTGAAAAAAAGAAAAAAACAGAAAAGACTGTATGCTGTATGATTCTACTTAGATAAAATTTTAGAATGGACTAAACTTAAGCTACAGTGACAGAAAGCCCATTGGTGGTTGACGATGTGGGATTGAGGATTGATTGCAAAGGGGGATGAGGGAATTTTTTGCAATGGTGTAAGTGTTCTATATGTTGATTGTAATGGTGGTTACTTGAGTATATACATTTTTCACAAACTTCACATTATTATATGCAAAACCTCTTAATAAGATCGATTTTTTAAAACATCTTTACATAGCCACTACTGAAATGATCATAAGAATTTACTAAACTTATCTCAGTGTGCTGTGTAAGGTAGTCAGAAACTAGACCTGTCCTTTACCTGAGAAGTTATCCTAGATGGCCTTTTTGAAGACAGAAGCAGCTGTGCGTCATGTAAATCTAGCTTCCATCTGTATGATCTATGTGTTGTAAGTACCTTATGGCACCTGACACATTGCTGAGTATAGATACAGTATCTATTGTGCTGAAATACAAGATGCTGTTTAAATTTATGGCTTACTACATATTTTGATTATAGTTTAGACTTTACTTAGAATTGTTAAGTTATTCAAAGTACTAAGCAAGCCCTACCCGCAACAGTTTCTACAGTTGGTTGCCTCCCTTTGGTATTTGGGTCCATAAAACTAAACATGTTAAGTAGTTTAAAATCCATTTATTAGAGTCCAGTTACCCACTGAACATTCCATAATTTCATGTTTAAAATGTTTTTCCTGATCCTATTTGAATTCAGTATGCATAATGTATAATGCTATCCTCTGTGACCATTTTTGTAAATGGATAAAAATCTTTCCTTGACTACTACTCATTGTTCCCATAGAAGGAGCATGAAGAGACTTTAGTTCTTGAGATTAATACATTCTTTTACATATTTTGTTGAAATAAAAAATCTTAAATGTTTTCAAAATGATTTTAGATTTGTAGAGAGTAAAATATTCTTGTTTTAAGAAAAGTTCTGAATGCTCTTTACTGAAATTATGGATGTAAATGGATCCCATGGGAGGCAATGAGGTGGGTTAGGAGCCTGGAACCTGTCAATACTGTTCCTTATCTTGGTGGTAGCCAGTCCTAGGTGTTCCTTAGAATAACCTCACAACTCTCCAAAATACAGATAGCCATGTTCCACCTCAGTCCTCCTAATGTAACATCAGGGGTAGTGGAGAAACTTACCTGTGCTTTGAAAATGTTATGCAAGAGATACTGAAGCTAAAGTTAAGAAGTTTCACTATCTTAGGGAGTCAGGATCTGGGTTGTCTTTTTGGTATATTTGACATGACAATATAGTTTGGGGACTCAGTTCTATCAAAAGAATACTTCTTTGTCTTTTTCTTGTTGACTGGCCATGGTCAAACCTCTGAATGTTTCTGGACTTCAGTGTGTTCTGTTGGCAAGGTCAAAGGTTTCTTTGGGCTCTGAGGTTTTAGGATTGTGAAGTTCACTGAAATTTTTATACCAAATCTCATTCTTACTCCATACATATCATGTAGAGAGAAATTCAGGTTGTTAATAATCCAAATGGACAC